TTGATTGGTGTCACAGGAGGAACAATTTACTGTTCAATTTCCGATTCAGAAACTTTCACAGCTAATATTCAGATTCTTGAATTTGAAAATAAACATTTAGATCGTACCGATCGGCGGAAATCATATCGTCGAATGTCATTTATTTTTATTTTTTTTCAAATTAAAACAGATTGGTAACACGTCACTTCCAAAGAAAAGACAATTCTAAACAACAATATTATTATAAAAAAACAAAATGATTGATGTAAATCATCCAATATTTATCAACACTTCGTGAAGAACGCGATTTCGTAAAGTAAAAAATACAAGGTTTTGTCAAACATTACCAAACACAACGTCTTTTGTTTTACTTTTCAAAATTCAAACCTTGACTTTCTCGAGTTAATAATGAGAGAGGAATTCCCTATACAATTTTCGATTTAATATATATATATATAATTATTTATTCGAAAATTATAACATAAATATGTTATAAAATCACTACAAAAATAGCCATTTTGTTTTCTTCTGGTGTCTTATCAAGTGATGGTGTTGAATGTAGAATAAAGGGTTTTAAAAGGTTCAAATGGCTATTTTTGTAGTGATTTTATAACATATTTATGTTATAATTTTCTAATAAATAATTATATTTGCTCTACTCTGTATTGAGCACTCTTTTAAGAATGGTATTTTTTTTTTGTTTGTTGGAATTTATTCCGCATACACCAATCCTATACTTGTATATATATAGATAGATAGATAGATAGATAGATAGATAATATTATCAATGGTACATATATATATATATATATATATATATATATATATATATATATATATATATATATATAAATTTCAAGAGGATAGAATCCATGTAGAACTCAATGTCCAGGACAGAGTAAGAATATAATATAAAAGGCTCAAACACTCATATTCCATGGTTATAATTTATTACATTGGAATCGTAATCACAATCAATTCAACATACCTACAATTTCCGATTTCTTTTTGAATTTGTTGGTCTGATGAATTGAATCGTGATTACGATTTCAATGTAATAAATTATTAGTGTTTGAATTTATATATATATATATATATATATATATATATATATATATAGGTAAAATAAGAACAAATTGCTCTTTTTTATCACCTTTTTATTACCTTGCTACACACACACACACACACACACACACATATATATATATATATATATATATATATATTTAGGCAATGCGGCAATAAACATCAGCAAAGTTTATATATATATATATATATATATATATATATATATATATATATATATATATGTATATATATATGCGTATTTAGACAGCAAATTCTCTTTTTAGGCATGTCCGATTAAATAAAATACAGACATCATGTTTGCTAATTTTTAACAAAATCCATTCATACAGACGAATAACCTTCCGTATATTCATATTAAAGGATGAGAGAAATGTTCTATAGCTGTTGAAATTTCTTTTATTTTTATTTCTCATATTCTTTCGATCTTCTTCCAAGATCATCTTCAGGGGTGCGAGTAGTACAAAACTATATGTTGTTCATTAGTACAAGTATTTATATATATACAGGGTGTATCAAAAATACTTTTACAAATCTTGGGACAAGGACAAAGGTCCACGTAATCATATGTCCGCCGTTTTTGAGTTATTAAGTTTAAAGAAATTTTACAGCAGATGTCGCTGTGTTGCCATTTAGACTACGTTACATTTGTCATTCGTGTATATTTGTGGCTAGACTGTCTTCGACGTTTAACCTGTGTAGTGGTGAGTTAACTGAGAAATGTTCCGTTCAACAATGGCAGGATATTCATATCATGAGCAGGCAGATATGATTTTTACATTTGTCCTCATGAATGGTAATGGACACGAGGTTGCACGGCTGTATCAAATTGCGTTTCCAGACCGAAAGCAGCCGAGACATCGAAGCTTTGCTGATGTTTATTGCCGCATTGCCGAGACAGAATCCGTACCACCACAAACTATGGGTCGAGGAAGGCCGATTGCACATTTAACAGCGTCTACCGTTAACTTTAAACTTAATAACTCAAAAATGAAAGATCAGCGGATTTATATGTATGAGTAACCCGCGCCCAAAGTTTGTAAATGTATTTTTGATATACTTGATATATATTATTTGCAAAAAAAAAACACCTATTTGTTAGACATTTTCATGACGGTCGTCCTCGAGTATAGAATCCAGAGGTTGGCAGTGAATATTTCGGAGACAGTAGGAAAGCGTAGTACAGGTTCGCAGTGGATATCGCAGCAAGGTAGCAGAGCGTAGTTCTTCCGTCTGTCCTGTTCGCCGGACAAGTTGCCTCTGGTCAGGTTGGTAGGAAAACAAAGATGGCCGCCTTTATACACGACGGATACAGTGTTGTGCGGCTTCTGATTGGTCAACCTTCTATTGGTAGACTATAAAGGGAAATAAGTCATTCTGACTCGCTCACTAGTAACATATATACATATATACAAAAAAAAACGTAACACTATTTTTAAAAAAATGCAAAATACAACTTTGAGAAAAAAAAAATGCAAGGTGATTTACGGCATGAAAAAAAATGAAACAGTGACCATTACGCTATCATGGTTTCTCCCAGTGTGGTATCACCAAAAGAGTAAATCAAATTACCTCATTAGAATATATATATATATATATATATATATATATATATATATATATATATATATATATATATTATTGTGGCAGTAGTTAATTATTCAAACATATATTGTTAAATATAACAGACAACGAATGTCTATCATGTTTGATCATGAGTCGTTCTAAGTTTCGTAGAGTTGCTTTAATTTCGGGAGAAAATAAAGATAAAAACTGTCCAACATTTGGATATATTTTTTTTATTGTTCCTCGATCTAACCTTTTGGCTCTCATGAGCCATCGTCAGAGTTATTATATGAACATTTCAACAAATATATTCACCATCAAAGATGATATCCTGTTATGTTTACATAGAAGCATACTAAACAAAAATCCAAATGTTGGGCAGTTTTTGTCTTTAATAGAGAATCTGTCTGTCAGGGGAACAGTTCCATATTGGTATATTAAGAATTCTTTCGAGACTAAGTATCAACATGTGTTGTCCTTTACTAATAATACTTAAATATTTTGGTGTTTGAAAGATAATAATAAATCTCCTAAGGTGAAAGGAAAAATGTAAAAATGGCAAGGACATGGAGATCCTTACATGAACCTGTTTACTGTGTTTACAAGAATAATTGGAAATTATAAGGTTCTTTGATGAGAATGCTTTATTAAACCAAAGATCCGAGTTAACAGTAAATTGTAAACACAGTCTGCCTTCTACCTTAAAACTCAGTTGGACCTGGAATTTGACAATGCTTTTTCTTAGATTTTAGTTGAACTGTGTTACACCATATATGGCTTATGTTTCTACTTATAAGATTAATTTGGATTTAATATAATTTTATCTTAATCTTCTGGGAGTATTAGTAACATCTTGTACGGATGTATTGGTATTTGGTTGGTATTTTTGGCATTTTGTATTGATTGGTAATTGTTATTAACATCTTATATAAAGAATCTTTAGTCAACAGTTGCATATTATTTTTAAGTAATTTTATACGTCTAAATTATTTACTGTTTTCTTAAAGAAACTGTTTATTTATCAACTATAAAAAATATGTAGGAAACTCACAAAGCATATAATTTGTTTAACATTTTGTTAAATTACTACTCCATCTGATTTTTTCAGAGGAAATGACATTGCCTCGTGTGTAAAATATGTATCCATTAATATCCACTCCTGTTTAACGTCGGTGCTGCCACTGACTATCAACCTACGGGTCATGACCCATTTATGGAAAATAATTTCTTAATTTTTGCTTCTTCGCTTTGTTTAGATTTAACATAAGTCATATTCGATTGGTTGATCTGAGTAAATTCCATAAACCTTATAACCCCCGCTTTTTCCCAAAATATATTGTATTTTGCTTTTAAATCTAACTAAATCGTTCACTCGCCAGTAATTTACAATCGTCTGATGAGATGCATTTGATAGGTATCGAAACATGACTGCAATTGTGTAGCGATTTTAACATTTTTCGATCTAATATATATATATATATATATATATATATATATATATATATATATATAAAACAAGTATAGGATTGGTGTATACGGAATAAATTCCAATAAGCAACAAATACCATTCTTAAAAGAGTGCTCAATACAGAGTAGAGTAAATATAATTATTTATTCGAAAATTATAACATAACTATGTTAGAAAATAACTACTAAAATAGCCATTTTCTCTCAACACTTCTGGTGTCTTATCAAGTGATGGTGTTGAATGTAGAATCTATATTTATATATATGTGTGTGTGTGTATTTGTGTATACATATTTATATGTGTGTGTGTGTGTGTGCGTGTGTGTGCATATATATATATATATATATATATATATATATATATATATATAAACACACTACGGTTCAAAAGTTTAAAACAACCCCCAGAATTAGCATGGGATGAGCTTGACAAAAGAGTGAAAAAAATGAAAAAGAGCTCTGAGAGTCACTGAAAAAAGAATAGAATCAATTATCAAACTTATACTTTGAGAAACTTTTGCAACGAATGCCAAAAGTTTGTGCTGCCGTAATCAAGACTAAAGAAAGGATGTTTTGCCGAAAGCAAAATTTAATCATAAAATGCTTCTTTTTTTTTCTTTTTGTCATAACAAAATGCCTAAGAAAAAATCATATCTCACTTTTTTAACCATGTATGATTTTCTCTTATTTCAAGTAGAAAACAACCACTTTTGGGGTAACTTAAAATTTACCAGAGTGTATCAAAAATATTTTACCAGCTTTGGGGGGTGGGGGAGAGTGTTCCTCATACCAAAACAAGTACAAAAATCCATGTAAACATATGTCCCCCAATTCTTCGTAGTTGTGTTATTAACTTTAA